GTGTCCTGGAACCACTGAAGAAGCATTGACGCCATCTGCGAACGATTCATTGGGTATCTGCAGCAGCGGTAGGGTCGTGAAGTTAATGACTCAAAAAGCGTGAACGGTGTTTCTGGATTCAGATACCCGGGCTGCCGACGACCCGTGAGTTATAGGTGGCTTCAGACGCAAGGTTCAGCTGTCGAACTGCGCCATTGTAATGAGCGAGACAGACACAACAACCGTTCGTAGGTTGGTTAGTTGGTTGGTTCCTCAACAACTTGGCGCAACCCAACTTGGGGCATAGGCCATAAATGAAGTGGTGCCTTGCTTTTTGAATAATTCCCTTCTTGAAAGGAAGGGTTACATTCATTAGGTAATATAGGGAATTATTTAAAGACGTTAGATTTCTAAACAAACAAAAAACTTGAAAGGGATAACATAATAAACACAAAAAAGGACAAAAAATTCGATACAAAAACAACTAAATTTATCTATGTTTAGCATTTCATTCTTTCATATTCTCGAAAAAAATTTGTAACAGCGGCAAAACGCTCTTGTGGCTGAAGCCAAATGCGATTGCTCCAAATGAAAGAATTACGGAAGTGTCAAGTTTAAGTCAAAGTTTTGTAGGGGTTTTTCTAGTAGTTTTTTCTTTGACTTTTCAATTTTTGGCATGACAAAAAAGGGCTCCAAAAATTAACTCTCACTACAGTGAAGGCACAAAGGCGGCTGTTCTAGACCCGACCTGTGAACGTAAACGTTTATTGGAGGGAATCGACAACGAAGCCTTGTAATTACTATTTTTTCCTTTCTTGATGAACACCACTTGTTCTTCCAAAAGAACCTTAACTGTGAATAATCTGTATAAACAAAGGAGATTTTTAAAAATTATTGGCCATTGAGCGTTTTTCAAGGCGTGCTGCTGTGTTATATTCAAAAGTAGGCAAATTGAGTAAAACAGGACAATCAAGAGAAGATACAGCTAGTACATCTGCATGCTCATTGAGAGCTAAACCTCTGTGGCCTGGTACCCAAACTAGTCGAATGAGTCGCAAATTTCTAGGAATGAGCGAGTAGAAAGTTTCTAAGGTACGCGAAAAAGTTGGTGAGCTTAAGGGAGTACAGACTGAGAGACAGTCTGTTAGTACAATCACCGCTGATAGATCTTGGGGCACTTGACGCAATGCTAGGCCTATTGACAGTAGCTTAGCTTGATAAATAGGGGTAAAGTCGGGTAATCGAATCAGGAAAGCCCAATCTCACAAAGATGGTACGATTCCTATGCCAGCCTTCTCTTCATAAACAGAAGTGTCAGTCCCTATCACAATGGATGTTTTTAGATTGGCCAAATGATCTTCCGAAATGCCATTTATATATACTGATATGGCAAATGTTTTGCATTCTTGGGATATATATTGTGACTTGAGAGTGAGGGTAGCCCAAAGACAGGAGACCGGGTGGCTCGAAAAATTGGAAGGGAATCTGTTTATTAGGCGGACTTGTACCCACTAAAGAAAAATATATAAATCGGCTTAGCGAGTGGCGAACAACGTGTTCGACGGCCGTCGGGGAACAGAATGCCCCACTGGATTGCAAGGCGCGTTCACCATCTGAGATACGCCCCCCGCCCCCAAAAAAGCAGGTATAACAGTCGTCGTAGAATCTGGGGCTATCTCGTAATCAACAAATGGTCGACGTGCGGGCCACGATCTTCGCAGATGAATCGCAGTGCGTCTTGGACTAGGATAAGGCCGCGTGCCGGCGGTATCGGCATGCGCAACACTATCCGCAATACGCTTGGCGGCATTGCTCCCCTCCTCAACGTAAGCATCAACCCGATGCTTTGTTTAAAATAAAACAAAAACAAAAGGACAGCTTGTGCGAAGGTAAACGGCAAATAAGCGCGAATCACGCGCACACAAAAAATGAGAGATGCAAACAAGGGGCGTTCTTTAGCGCGCATGGTAGGCCTTTAAACGGGCGACGTGTACCACTTCTTGAATAGCTTCCCGCAGATCATTGGTGGTTAGCCCACCTCGTATCGGTTCCGAGCAGACCGAGCTGAGCTGAAACGGGCGGTTGTATTGGCGAGTCCGGGCGTCCAGGGCAGGGTCCTTTCTATCGTGTGCGCTTCTTCAGTAAATTCGGCGACTGTATATATATATATATATATATATATATATATATATATATATATCATGGAAGAGAACAAAGTTTTGATTTGTAAAACAAAAATGTTGCTCTTGGTTTCTTCGTCACGTCATGTGAATGGTACTTGGTGTTTAAAAGCGCGAAAGAATGGTGAGGCAAGACAAAGTCAATGGTTGACCAGTAGTGGGGGTTATACTTCTTTCTAAATTTCACAGATTCAAATACACGATTCTAATACCAAGAAAGCGAGTTGTGCACTCTGTCAAATGATTGTCCAGAGTTGCTAGAAGTCCAACAATCGTGAGCAAGCAAAGTAATTGTACATTCTTGATTTTCGCAGCGCTTTCTTCAACTACAGTATGTTGCGGCTAGCCGCCACACAATCTCTTCTGTGTGTCTATGCATTTTGAGAAATACTTCCGACTTCACAGTTTCTCTTTCAACTTTTGTATTTCTCCTTTGTTTCTTCTTTTTCTTTTGCTCAGTCTCTTTTTTTTCATAATTAATCTTTCGACCATTTGTATCATTGTTTGGCCTGCCCTTCATCTTCTATTTTCTTTTGTTCTTGTTTTGTTCTGTTTGCCCGTTTTTCTTCTCCCCCTTTTTTGTAAGCAATTTTTGCCCCTTTTCTGTCATTGTATTTTTTTACTTTTTCTCTTTTTGTTTTTCTTGAGCCCGAACAATCAAGAAAGTGCATTTGAACCGATGCGATATAACTTAAGAGAAGTGAAACTGATACATTTGTATTCGGCATGTACGCCAGGCTGACGCGATTGATCGCCACAACGTTATTGCGGCCACTTAGGGGTACAGTACGAGCACCAAAAGAGGAGTGGGTGGGGAAGGGGGTAAGGCAAATGCTGGCAATCTGCAAATCCCAGCTTTTGTTTAGTTCGGCGCAGCATGCGGTCAACGAGGCTTCATTTTTTTACTTTCCAAAGTGTATTTATTTGTTTATGCGTTGTTCACTGGCGTGATATTTCAGAACTGAATGAACTCGTTCAAACGATGTGTAGACTGCCTCTTCGGTTGCTGGAGATCACCTCCGCTGGCGCACAACTGGTGTGCCCTCGCATTTCATGACGGTGACTGTGACACGCTAAATGCTGTACTCCAAGGTTACCAAATTGGTATAGCCGAGGCTGCTTTTTCGCTCCAGTGGGTAATGTGAGTTTTCAAGTTACTTTGTCGGGTAGTTTTAGTATTCATTATACGCTTCGTTTCCTTTCGTATATTGGGGGTGTGCTTCGTAGTGTAAAAACTTTTGACTGCACTTTCACCTTTGTTTGAATGTGTTTTCAGCAGCAAGTTGTCATAAGGCCTTTCATGGCTTAATTTCGTCAATTTATCTTTCCGTTGCTTCAATGCCCGCCATAAAACGGCCTTGCTTTGAAAGTAATGAATCACTTGTCAGTTGAACATTGTGGGTCTGTTCGAGATGTTGTAACTTTTGAGGCTATAAACCTGTCTCAAACATGCACCAACTAGCGCGAGCAGCAGTTTTACCTTGGTTTACTTAGCTGGGCCTAGCGACTAGCTAATCAGTCGTTCTTGTGGACACACGAGCTCCTAGAGCGAACGGGAAATGAAGAGAACGAAGAGAGTGCGTGCCGGGCGTGCAATGCGCTGGAATTCAGAGGCTGACCATAGTGATTATGATGAAGATACATGTAGCCTGGGCAGTTAGATCCAGCCGTGCGATGTTAAACGAAGTCAAGCTGGAGATAATCTTGGTGGCCACTGTGCCAATAACCTAAGAATATTTCGTTCACGCACTAAACGCTTGTAAAGAAGTTTAAAGTGCCGATGCCCGTAAAAAATACAGGTAATAAATATTTGTGACAATGATTCCTTGGGTGCACTTCGGAATTCAGTGGAATGACAAACAAAATATGTTTTTGTTTCAGAAATGGCACCCGAATTTATCGGCCACCCGCCCCGCAAAGACGTGTTTCATTGTAACAAATGTCACATTGTGCAAGTTTAAGCAAGATTTGACCTTTCTCTACTATTATGACTTCTTTTTCTTTGCCAACGCGGTCACTGTGTGTGAAGAATGTACGGTGTGGTGCTAGAGGCCAAGTCAGGCGACTCATAATGTCACCTTTCGTGTCCTGCACCACGGCAATCATGTATTGTCAAACAAATAAATAAATAAAAGTAGTGCTTTATTCAAAATAGAATATACACAAAGCTCACAAAGACTCCGAGGGTCTCCAATCTTGAGCCATCCTGAATGACAGGCCTCGCCAGGGGCCACAAGTGTGTTGTCAAGGTAGGCGATGACGAGTTGTAGCTAAGTCAGGGGTGATCACACTGATAAACTTTTCATACATTTAGGCAGTGTGCCTCAATGCCAAAAACATGTCGACATCCTCAAAGCCGAACGCTATTGCAATGATAGTTCTTTAGTACGCCGGATATCTCGACAGCTATGTGACGGTAGCCCTTGACCAGCTCAACGTTGGTAAAGATAAATGTTTCAGCCAACATGGGGGCAGAATGACAGATATGGAGAAGTGGATAGCAATGGGGCACAATGCAGTCGTTGAATGCAATACAATCGCCACAGGAGAGCCACTCAACGGGCGTATGTTCGCGCTGTCAGGAAATAGTGCTTAATTGTCTGAAGACGCCCGACGGGAGTATTCCTCCCTCGTCATGCGTGCAACTAATGAATCGCAGCACAGCAATGATCTGTGTCAGCGGCGTATTCAGTGAAGCGACTGGACTGTGACAAGGCAATGCCTATAGTCGTAGATGTTGCAGTCAGAAAAGTAAAAGATAAAAAAAATGACTGTTCCAGCTCATCCTGAACGTTCGCTGCGCGCAGTTGTCCAGATCCCGCGTGGTAAGCTTCGGGCGAATCGCGTGCGCTGAAAGTTTCTACAAAACGCACATCACTCGTTCTTCCCTCGTGTAATAAGCTCAGACGTCACGCCGCTTATATTGGCTCGTCTGATATCCACTTCGGCGTAACGTTTTAACTTGCGTTCCGTTGTCGAAGTCAACATGTATGTCCGGTCAGTACTAGTTGCCCTTAGCTTCACCACTGGAGGACACGGTGAGTGGTGGGCAGCATTCCGTTGCAATCTTTTTCGTTAAGTGCTCAGCAGATTAAGGACGAGAAGATGTCATGATAGATTGAAAAAAATATCAGCTGCGTGTTTACGCAGCTGTTCTGAAAATCAATCTCTATCGCTTGTGTCAAAATGATGGTTACCAATACTACTTTTGAAAACTTGTGTTCCTTCCTAATTATTGCGTTTCTATGCTGCAGCATTTGGTCTTTTCCCGCCTCTTGGGTTTTTTGGGCAACCAGGGCTGTTTAAGCCTCCAGGCCTTCCAGGAACTCCGGATCTATTCAAACCTCCTGGGCTTTTCGGACCTCCCGGGCTCTTTAGCCCTCCAGGGATTCTAAAACCTCCAGGGCTTTTCGGACTTCCAGAACTTCTCGGACCTCCGGCGCTTCTTGGCACGCTAGGCTTTCTTGTGAGAACATTAGAGCTATGATAGCATCAATCAAACATATCATTACTCTTAAAAAGCTGAATTTTAGCGTTCGTTTTACTTCATTTGATATATTTATCTGCATTTGCACACGCATGTGCAATAGAGTGGTAAACGGAGGTGGATGAGAGCAAAAACCGCACAGACACGGCTTGACGAAAGATCCCTCCCTTAGGTGCGTTATGACTGCCTGCTAAAACACATATTACACTTTGTATATTACACCAATGCTGTAACTATAAAGTATGAGAGTTATACAATATTAAGAAAAAGAAAACATGCGTAGAAGGAATTGCACTACTGAGATGAAGTGGCGAGAAAACAAATGATGTATATTTCAAAACTTGCAGAAAATATAAATAAGCATAAAACGCATCAATAACTTTCACTACATATTCTAGAGCGGCGAATCAACTAGCCTTCGAAATTCTCGCAGTGATAAATAAAAGAAATTATAGCTTGTCCAATCGCATCACTTCATAGTCCTAGAATATTATCACGTTGCTTACGAAAGCCACAGCATTTTTCACTTTCCTTGCTGTTAGTGTACAGGCAATATGACAGCATGAATTGAAAAATAATTTGCAAAGTTCTATACCTTTATATAATATTTCATTTAGCATTAAAAGGTAGTCGCTAAGACGCTATATTTCAAGACGTTATGAACTTTACTTGTGTTATTTTTTTTCATACAGCTTTCCGGTATGAGTCAGGTATGGTGTATTTTCAACGACGCCCATTATTTACTTTTGCGTAGTTTAGGTTCAAGATAAATTTTGCTCTTTGTACAAAAGTGGGCTTGCATATCATGTAGATTTTAGGAAAATCGTGCACACAAAACCTATGAGAGTAGACCTGTTAAAATCCGGGCATTCAATATAGTATTTAAGTTGCTAAGATTAATGACACTGAGGCGACACTGTACAGCTGATATAAGGTTATACAGTCATACCGTGAGTATATTCATTGAGTAAAAAGCGCGTTTGAAATCTGGATTGTGATGACTCGCGGGTAGTCCAGAAGTACTTTGACAATGGCGCGTGTCCAGGATCGTTCAATAAGGCTGTTTCATCCTGGTTACACAAGGTAGAGAGGCCTGCCTTGTATATTGCTTTCTACTTACTAATTTGGATTATTTAGGAATTAGGTTGGCATGCACATATCATGCGAATTTTTTTTCTGGCTTAAGCAGTCATACATTCTGGTGACAGCTGGAAGTTTTGGATAAAGATGACAAGATTCAGATTACATGGGCCACAGACCACTTTGACCAGCGTGCGTAAAGTTGCCCTTCAGGAAGAATGGGAGGGTTATCGTTGTGTGCCCTCTCAATTATGTAATTGTTTTGAGCTTACTTTGCGTTTGCCCTCTTAGCCAAGAGGAGCAGCCGACCCTTTTGGCTACTCCTTCTCCTCCTCGTGCGCATGCCTATGGCTATTCTGTATAATACCCCGGCAAAATCACGTGCCTAAACTGAGAGTTCATTTTCGAGGCATACATGATGAATAGCAAACTGGAAGCATAACAACCAAAAGTAACTTAACACTGATTTTATGAAGGCACCCTCATAAACAGCATAAATTGAAGTAGGAAGTTTATTTATCTTTGAAAACAAACATCATTTATTTAGTGGTTGAATAGGAAAGAGTATTGTAAAGATATATAATTGGGTGAAAGCCCACTGACCGGTAAAAGGCGCGTAGAATGTTTGATAAGTGAAACGTGAAAGTAACCCGTAATCGTTGCGTTGTACTTGCCTTGATTACACTTGTTCAACATTACGTGATGCAAAAATGTAGCAATATTCATAAAAAAACATTCAAGTCAACGACGTGTCTTTGTTCCGTGAATTCAGGTTCTTGGCGGTACTGTTAGCTCTAGCATAAGTAAGTATTTATTAATAAGCAGATAGGTCACTCTTGTTATTGTCCGAATCACCAAGTTTCGAAGGGTGAATTCGATGCCTCGGCAATATGCAATTGTCGGATTGCATACCTCACCTGATGCGGTGATAAGGCAGTATCGTGAAGGCTGCACGAAATCTTTTTCGTGGAGAACCAAGAGTCAAATTTGTTGTAAAGTTAGCGTTACAACCTACTAGCATTCCTGCAGGACAGGTCTCTTGAACCTACTTTTCGCACAGTTCTTCATGCCGGAACAGGCATCCGAAGAAACGCTTTACTAATGAAGGCATGGACACGAAAACGAGCTGCAGATTGGCTCAGAGCTCCTTGTACACTAGTTTTCTTTTTTTGCCTGCAATCATTGCTTTCTTCTATTTCCCTCCTTGCCTTTCTATCCCTTCTTTTCTTTCCCAGTACAGGATAAGAAACCAAAAAAAAGTTATTCTGGTTAACCTTCCTGCATTTTGCTAAAACCTATTTCATCTCTTTTAGTGGCTACCTGCTACTTGACCTCAAGAAAGCACCACAAAAAAAAAAAAGCTGTGCACTACATCTGCACAAACAGAAAGCTCGTCTAAATAAAAAAAACCGCGAACGTTCGCATTTAGACGTGTGGTCTTGCGTCGTTCTGGGGATTGGTACAGAAATTTTAACATGTATTAGCAGTGTTTTCGATCAATCTTCGCAAGAGGCTCTGTTGTAAGGTCATCTGCAGCAAACTAAAGTTATTACACTAAGAAGAGAAGTCGAATAGAGGCACGCCGTAACAGAACGATGTTCTTGAAGCAGTGATTACTATAGTTGCAGGTGCTTCATCACTATATTGACATGCATACTTGTTTTTGCGCTTGCATGGTGTCAGAACCTTTACGTCTGGAGCTCTAACGGGTAATCTCGCTTGGTGCAGCACGTGCGTGATGGCATAAAAAGTGCACTGCTCAATGGCGCACATGATGGGCACAAAAGAGTAGTGAAGTGATAGTGTCATTGCTGGCTATTGCCTTTGCCAAAAAGAACACGATCGACGAGTTACTTTTGAGACAGTCTCTGAGATGGCAGTGGCCATGAACCCGTGCCAGTCTTTTCTTTCAAAACGTGCTACGGTCGCACGTTTGACATACAGGGCCGTTTGGTGGCTGCGCATCTTTATTTGTATTTTGTGTTACGTATATCGTACGTCGGAAATTCAATTAGGAATAAATCAACCGGGCTGAACTAGTTTAGCGTGATGTTTTCGCTTGTAGTACCGCATATGGTCTTCTAAGGTCTACATTTCTTCGTGTAATTAGGTATATGCAGTTCGTAATAACAACCAAGAGCAGATTGTTTTTAGTTTGGTAATGATACCTTCTGAATTTTTTAATTAGCTCCTCAGCACTAATTGGATCTACTAGGACGCCAGTCCGAAATTTTTCAGCAAATGTTACAGATTTGTGGCAAGGATGAAGCAACAAATTTTATAGCAATAAATGCGAATGGTATATAAAGAAAGAGTAGAAGCAATCTTCATTACGGTCTGCACTAGCAGACATCTACGGGACAATGCCAGAAAGACGTATAGCTGCTCTAGCCAGTGACGTGGTTTCCGCGCTATCACTCATACGTGAAGTAAGCGGTGAGAGTAAATATTCTAATGCGGTAGTCTCGTAGTCTCTGCCGATATAGCACGGGTGACCACGCCCGTTTTCCGAGGGTTTGTACGTCAAGCCTGACTGAAGGTTTGTAGGTTCTGAAGGTTCTTACGTCAAGCCGTTTCTGGACGTTTGTACGTCAAGCCTAATGTTCCTTCGGCCGACGGAACCGACTGGTGCGTTTCATCTCTACTTCAGTTGTGCCTGTAGCCGACCTGTGAACAGTTAAGATCACTCGTATATCACGCGGCCGTTAGAGAAAACTAAATGCGATAGCAAGATATTGCATTGTTATAAAAAGTGAGTCTAGCAGCTAACTTTTTTGGATCCAATCTCACGGGACTCTACAGAACGCTGGTGTAAGAAAATATGGGCGCTTCAAAAAATCTTCGTGCTTAGAGCTCAGCGCGAAGAGCATTGTACGAGCTATTCATCTCCTAATGGATGTCTGGATTGCGAGAAAACAGGCACGCCAGTGATGGCGACCACGCCCGTAAAATGAAAGTCAAGAGTGACTGATCGACGAAGCCTTTTTGCACTGCTTGAGCATTCAATTAGCAGTTTAACAGGCGTGGAAATCTTATCACATGCGTTCTTTGAGTGACGGAGATTGGCTGGCTTGTCTGATCTGTGCTTCAGCCATGTTCGTCGCTCCCACTCACGGCAGTTACCAACGGGTAGAATGGTTGGCGCGCTGAGGGATCTTATCAACTTGGACATCATACACAGCATGATGATGATGGTATCAGCATGAACCACTCGAGATTGTCCATAAATTTGATATTCAATAATACGCCTCAAAAATTCATATTTCTTCTACGCAAGAAAAAGAAGGCGATTCCCGAAAAACGAGTTTTTCAGCTACATTAGAGCTAACGTCTGCAAACATTACTTTAGTTCTTTTTCTCTGTCCTCGAAACCAGATAAAAATCAATAGCAGCTTCTTGAATCGGAACCTCACGTCTTAGACAATCTTATATTCTTTGTTTATGTGAATTAGGAGTTCTGAGAAGGTGCGATGGTGTAATTGACCTGCTGAGACTGTTTTTCCCGCTCCTATTGTCGAAGATGTCTCGCGATAAACTAGTCGATAACGCATGTTATACTTTTGGGACTACTGGTCCCACTCTTGTAAATGCTAAAATATCTGTTGTTTACAGCTACCTGGTTTATCGCAACTACTTTTGGATAACACTTCACCTCCTGGAGATGGGAGCCTACCACAGCTGCCAGAACAACCTCCACAACCTGAAGCGGCTACACCCGGCCCAATGGATATAGAAACATCATCAACTGTGGATGCTTCTAAGACATCACAACGTTTGTCGCCATCTAGCAAAGATACTAATACGGTTGCCAGCCAGTTTACTAGTGGCGTATCTAATGCACCGAGTGCGAGCACCAGCAGCTCAGTGAGTCAGCCAAAGGCAACCACCGAGAAAGGAACAGCGCAGCTCGCACAAAAAAGCGCAGGATATAGCACAGGAAATGCACCAATGGTTGCTGAGACACCGGAAATGACGTCGCATCCCATCATCGACGCGGTAACAGTTTCTCTCCCCACGCACTATGAAGGCAGCGCCTAATACTACCCCCCAATACACAAGACAGTAGTGTACGAGAAAAGTTTTAGTCCATGAAGAGGCAATTTCTCTGAATAAAAATTATCCGAGTGGAAGGTGGGCAGCAAACATCTTATTCCAGAGATCAACACTATTTAGGAGATTACAAAAAAGCAGCAATAAAGAATCATGGTCGTAATGACGTTGATATCTCTGAAACTATTAGTAATATAATTTTCAAGGTTGCACTGCGCGATGTACGCCGTTGACGCACCTGTAAATGAGTCTTCGCTATTTAATGGGCCACTAAATCAAAGTGGAGGCCTTGTGGAAAATAATAATGGAAATGGCACCACTGTGTAGAAATTTCACGAATTAAGCCACACAGTTTTCCACAGTTTTAGAAAGTGAGGAGGTGAACATAGCCTTACGCGCTTGAGCTTTTCAGAATTCTTGAGAAAACATGATTACATAAGCAGGTTTCTGAACAGTAAAACGAGGTTTGCTGCAAATTTTGACTTACACCATTATTGTCATGTCTAACATAGAAGGTGAATTGCCAAGTAGAAAGCAATGCTGCTTTTTCAGTGACAACACCTTCTGGTTTGGCTGTCATGAAATAAACTAATATCATAAAACAGGTTGCGTTGCTCTAATAATTTCTTGTTTCTTCTGCAAGATAACCCTTATGAAAATCGAACAGCCTCATAAGATGGCGACAAGTTGCCATAATCACCTAGGCATTTCTTTATCAATTTCACAATTAGTGTCTATGCATAGGCTGGACAGACTAATCACGAATAGACTAAGGCTAATTATCGTACAGTTTACATTTTTCAAGGAACGAGAGCTGGTGTCGTCGAATGCGTGCAGGCCAAAGAGAGTGAATTTGAATATACGCCAAAAAATTTGAACAAAAACGTTACATGCTCGCCGTACGCTTTAGGAACACGCAAAGGCTCGAAAGAAATAACTTCAGTTATCTGTTGATCAGCTTCGCATTGAAGCTAACATCTACAGTTTCCATAGTTCTAGCAACATAGTTGTGCAATTCTCGAGATAGCTTGAGCTTAACGCGCGTAAAAATGAGTCTATTGAATGAAGTCGTCATCCTTATCCGTCTCATTTACTAACATTCAAAGCCTGCCACCTAAGAGGTGTAAGTTGTTTTCCTACGTAGATGATCCAGTCTTATTAACACTCACGAAGACCTGTATTTATTGAAAATAACAACACAAAATTTCCCAGATAAAGACAATTCAAAGACATATCACTGTGACCGTGTCGATAGAAGAGAAGGCGGCGTGTTAAGAGCGGTGAGATAACATGGATTACATTTGTTACAACTTACGCTGAAGTATACCTATAGAATCATGTTATCGCCCAGCAGATGCACATTCATCTTGTAGCTACAGCTGCATGCACTGATCTGTACTAAGAGGAGCTGGATGGCGCATCGAGCGTGCGCCGTTGAAGCCAGCGGAAGCCGCCGTTGGTGTCCCGAAAGCCACCGCCATGAACAGTCGCCTGATGCTGGCGCTTGGACTTTCCTCTTCTTTTTAATGAAATGGCAGCGTGTAGCGCAGTAAACGGTACGAATCAACCGTAAATGTCATCACGAAGACATTTCGCGATAAAGCATCTCAAAATACATTACTTTTTATTCATTCTGCTAGGAAATTGTGGCAGTTGATCGGCCTTTTTTTAATGAGGCGGTTGAAAGTGTTTGGTTTCTTTATTATGCAGCTGCCCAAGTTCTACGCCTCAAATATACGAGAAGTGGGTCAATAACTAAAAGAGGGACAACTGGACGCCATCTACAAAACGCAGACATTGCAGTGACCGTTTTACAGAGTCATGTTTTGTGTTCTCGGTTAAAAAACTCATCTTCGAAACAATATCATGCCAACGCTGTTTTCTTTCCCGGATCATTTACAAAGGACAAACCTTTGCACTCCTGGCTACCATTGCACTCATTGCTCTTTTTGGCAAAAGAAAAATTTCGTGACACTTTTTCCGTTACCTGCACTGTGAAGTTATTGTAAAGTTACGCTACAGCATCCCATATATAGTATCCAGACGGCATCGCTACAGCGTCTGCAATTTTTCGTGTGTTCGGCATGCAATAATGTCCTACCATACCAGTTTTGCAGCATTCCACGTGAACAAAACCACCGCAAGAGCTGCACAACAATGGAATGTAAATCATGACATTCATGACACAAATATCATGATTCTCATGTTACGACTAGTGAAATATGTTTTTCATACAGTCATGTTATGGCATACCAAGTTTGGTATCGATACCATTATCTGAACTGCCAGGAGAGCTCAAAGTCGTAGGCGGCTAGATAGATAGATAGATGTGCTCAAAGTCGCCGAAGTTCGCTAAAAAATGCTTCGCATTTAAACCACAACAAATGCGATCACAACAATCACCACCAATATTATTCAAATTACGCGCCTAAAACGTCCAAAAGACGCCAGTTTCTGGGACAGCGAGGGGGCCTTCTGGTAGCGCCTCAAGCACCCGCATGGTAGGGAGCATACCTGACCACTTTCGGTCATGTGGGCTCCCTACCGCATGGGAGGGTGGGCATGCGTCGTTCAGTCTTTTTAATGGAGGTATGTGGCTGCATCGGCGTTGCAGAGAAGACGAGGCGCTCGTTCTTGAACGAGGCATGTGCCCCTGCCAGGACTTGCGCCATCTCCTAGACTATTCTAGGTTGTGTTACCTGCACGCGCTGGTGTTCGGGACAGTCATTAAAATACTTCTGGTCACAGCGTAGTAGTCGTGTCGGGTTTGCTCTCTCTCTCTTTCTCTCTCTCTCTCTGTGAAGACCAAGATTTCGTCGGTGTGCGAGGTCACACATCCGCCGCAATTTTACCCCGTCGATCTACGTAATAACATGGAATAAAGCGCCACAACTTTACTGAGCCGATGTAATATACCTTTTTAGAAATTTGAATCATGCGCACATTGCCACCACATGTTGCGTCTCGTAAAATTTTCTCGAATAAACTGTCGACTTCAACTTATCACAAGTTTAGTTACGCACTCGTTGACATAAGACGTAATTTTTTCTAACAAACCAGAAACTATCGAAGAGATTCTATACATAGAAGAATTTAGCACCTGTGAGCTCGTTAATTTCCAGATCAATGAATCTCTAACTTTTACAGTCACAGTGACTAAGAATATTCAGAATGAAAGCAGAAGTAACTATGATTAATTTAACATCAAACATGTTTCTGATCACGATATTTCCTATTCCACAGAAATATAGAAAGCGCGATGATAAGACACCCGCAAAGTAAATCGTACATACACAGAACAATAATGCACTATCCCTACCCAATGACAGAAGGCTACATGTGCCCGAAATATAGCTGCAATGCCAGTGCTATGCCACACAATGCAACCGTAGGGGAACGGGAACGAAGAACCGAGAAGGAATGGTGACCATCTTATCGAAAAGTGGGAGACTATGCTGGTCCTCGAGGACCTGGAAGACCAGTGGCAACTCATCGCAAGGGCCAAAAGGGCAGCTGAAATGAGATGGTTGCTGGAATAGAGTAGCGTCGCACCTTAGGATGCTACCAAGCATCGCGGGGAACACTGTTCCGAAATCAAAGTTTATTTTTCTTTCTCTTACGATCTCTTTCTGCCGTTGTTTGCCTCACGGACCATCAACCTCAACTAAACCCTTTTTAAACAAAAAACTATGGAAACTAGTTGTCAAGTTTCTGCCAATATTCTCAATATTCAACAATAAACGAACCACCTGGTTTAACATTATGAACATTACGAAATAAAAGAAACGTTTGCACAATAACGCGAAACGCAATAATTGTCTGTCCCCTTGAAAAAAATACATGGTGTATCAACAAGATCACTATAGAGATGTAGGCGCAGCAAGGAAGAAATGTTTTTTTGCAGGACTTGTCTTCACTTATCAAAACTAGTAAAAGATAACTCTGGAAAATTATCTGTCTCTTTGAAAAGTGTTACAATTGCGTTACAAAACACGATGCTACCCAATCTCCTGTTTCTGATCATGCCAGTGCGGTTTTCTTCAAAGCATACTTTGTCTCTATTTTTAAACATGAAAATTGATCCGATGTGCCATCTGTCTTAAATTAACCCTTCCTTTACATGACTCCTGTCCCGTCACTGCTGAAGGTACCGCCGATTTCATGACGAGTCTCAACGTATCTACTTCATCAACACTTATAACACCAACTCTAAAATACCGAAGAACTCTCTGAAACTTCCAGCCGCTTCCTGTCTCTTAATTGACCAATATTTGTCATCCCCTGAGTTGGCTAAGGAGTAAAGCCTTAGTAAGGTAGTTGCTATGTTTAAGCCCTGTGACAAGCATCCACCCCGTAAATAGTGACCAATTTCACTAACATGCATACTGCGCAAACCTCTTTTACATATTACATCTACTCGTTACCATGAATCCTTGAATCAAAAAACTTTTTTCGCTAAGCAGCATAACATAGGAAAAACTACTCAGTTATTCAAATTCACGACAGTAATGATCAATCCGATTGCCTCTTTTTTGATTTTGCCAATCCAATGAATACTGTAAGTAAAGAAAGCGATAGAAAGAATGAGGAAGAGAAAAACGTAGAAAAAGGAACGAAAGAATACATGAACAGACTGGGAGAGAAGGCTATCAAAAGAAACAGATGCACAAGTGACAAACCAAGAGAGGTAAGAAAACAGAAAAGGAAATAAAAGGTAAGGGCGAAAGAAAGTGAAAGAAAGAAAAATAGAAAAAAGTGCATAAAACCTGTGCAATTAACGAAGAGAGAAAGATTAAAAAGAGTAGTAACAGAAGGGTATCCAGTGGCGATATTTCTTCAGGCTTGACCCATATACTGCGAAGCTGCCCTAATCTTTCTGCTTACAGTGTTTTTTTTTCATTCTGTTGAGTGTAGCGGCTTGCTGTCTCTATGAGCTGTGTGTCTGCTTTGGAATAAAACCTCACTTTGAGTCGGCTCCTGTGTTGGCGTGCTTAAAAATATCTTGGCTTATTTGTTGCGTGGTTTTACTATTTCTACACAATTCATGCCAATGCGCCTTGCCATGCATCATCGCCACAACGGCTATTACGAAACGATCTAAACTCGTGCTTTCTGAATCAACTGCATCCTGCAGTTTTGTTTCCGCGGCTCACTAACGCAATATCCAGCGAATCTGAACAGGAAGTCCGACCGCCACTGTGTTCTCAAAAGAGTGGTGACTTCAGATATCTGGCATGTGTCGGCGATGCCGGAAAGCCAAGCTTGAATGCGTGGAGATCACGAATACGAGTTTACCTCCCGTGCCGTGTCTGCAACTGCAGAGTCGTGGCATAACCACCACCTGCTGCAGCGACGAATGCAGTAAAGCGACCAGACTGCGACAATATACGAATGGCTAGAGTCATGATTCTTGCTGTCGCGAAAGCTGAACATAACAAACGACTTGCAACTCATCGCAGAGGTTCGCAGCGCACAGCTGTCCGGAGTGCATGTGGCATAGAGTTCGAGCGAATGGCGTACGCCTATAATTTCCACAAATGGCACATCTCGTATTACTCCCCCACATGACGAGCTCGGACGTCCAGCCTCTTATATTGCCTCGTTCGACTGTTGTCCCAGCGTGACAATTGAATTTGTGTTCCGCCGAAGCCAATATGCAAGTTGTAGCGGCACTGGTTGCCCTTTGCTTCGCTGCCGGAGCGTGTGGTGAGTGCCACTGAGTTTCCTCATGCAATGCATTTTACGCAATCTAGGCCAGATTTAACGCGAAACGTGAAGAAATGGCGTCTAACAAAGAGTATGTCGTTAATGTTGTTTTATACAGCGATGAACGTCACTTCTTTGGAAATAATAGACACTCTGCTCACTTTGAATAGTTTGTCCTAGGCCAGTGAGCGTTCAAAGAAGCAAGTAGAACGTACCGTAAACGTACCGCCATCTAATTATTCTTTGTCTATGACGCAGGAATAGGTCTCTTCAGCCATCCCGGACGGGGACCACCTGGATCTGATGGACCTCCTGGGCTCCTTAGACATCAGGGATTCTTTGTGAGATCATTGTAGTTATTATAGCCCTAAGCGAGTTTGTAATTATACTTTAAAGGCTAAATGTTGCGCCCTGGTTGAGGATAACTTTTGTTGGTGCTGTTGCTATATATGAACTTATCTGTTATATGAACTATAAAACGGTAATATGTTTAGAAGCTGTCAGAATGGACATGCTGTCGTCAGGAAATTCGTAAAACGGTTAACTTTCAAGGACTCATAGCGCCAAGAGGAAACTGAAAAAAAAGAACGCTATAAGGAAAAAAGTTCCGACAAATGCAAAAGTATCAACTATATGGTCAAATACCTAGAAGTGCCAGAGGTGGGGAGGGGGGGGGTGTATACATTGGTGACACTTGCGCTGCGCTGCTTGAACACGTAGAAAGACGCGCAATACACACGTAGTACCCAACACGAGCTAGAATCCATTACAGTTTATGCTCGTGTTGTGTACTGCGTGTATTTTTGCGTGTCCTCGTGTTAAAACAGCACGTTGCAAGTGTCAAACTAAAACACTGATTTGAAAATAATATGTAAAAAATAAAGCGCAAGATTCACGGAACGGAGAGGTGTCTTGTAGAGATTATATAAACAGAGAGGAAAAACACACTTTTTGTTGACTATACAAATCGTGTTTGGCACGAGGGGATGATCGAGGGCGGGAATTGGGTTTGTGGTGGAAGCGATAACTAGTCCAGCACTACTTTAGCCGTAGTTGCTTCAGTGGGTAGCAGAATCAACGCTTTCTAGTGCTAGGTAGGTGAGCTTGAACGGCCTCCTACCTTTCGTTCATCGCCTCATTTTCGATACGACCGGGTAATGTGAAACAAGCTCGGCTTATATCTTTTAAGTAGGGCCACATTAATCGCAATATCCGTGAAAGCACTCGATAAAGCTGATGACGATCACATTACACCGCTTAGAGTCAATGTCATACCACAACCGAGCAGTAGTAAACACCTTGGCCAAGAGTCGATATGACTATAATGTATGAACAATGCAAAAAAGGAGCAGGACACCTATTCTAATACGCTTAAATTGATTTCAATCCATGACGTGTCGTGTTGAAAACAGGGAAATAAAAAGGGGCTGCGGTTTATGTTACGATGGAATTGTAGTAACCGTATGTAACAATTGTAAAAAAACTTTCATAATGACATCGTTTTAACAGTAGTCGGCACAGAAATATTTGGGGGGGGGGGTGTTATACAAATTTTCTAGCAAATGAACTTTAACAAGGTGCTTGATTGGGCTGGTTGGTGCTGCATGGTAGACGAATAAAGTGCTTAACAGCGCTCTGTTCTCGTATCTTCTTTCCCCTCCTGTCGTTTGCGCGGTTAAGCACTTTCTTCGTCTTCCAGCAAATGCCTTGTATGATACTCTGGGAGTCGAGGCTCTTGACGCTACTATTTAGCCAAGTAAAGTACACAATTTTATTTGCTAATACTGGTGTACATTTAGCGCTTGCTTCTTTTTCTATCATGAACCTCTGGAATAGGTGACATTCACGTTTTGCAAAAATGCAATGGTCAGACTCCACACTACCCGAAAAAGTCCTAATCGCCATAGGATTAGGACTTCAACAATCATCCTTATGAAGAACAAGGAGTAGAATATTTGGGAATATTTCCTTGTAAAATTCGATTGTTACTCCTGGACGTACTGCTTGACCAGCCTCTGCATCATAGTTCGTGGAAGCGCAAGATGAGTCCTAAAAAATTTTTTACAGAATAATGCTTTAAGCAAAGCTTCCACTTCCCGTCATTGTCGCTTGTTCGACTTGCATTGGTACCTAATACTTAGTCTGAAGAGTAGACAAGAAAAGACTATGCGCCAGCATCCGGAGGACCAAAATGCCCGTTAAAACGTCAAGCATACGAAATGGCTCAATAATACTTGCTGCGGCGCGAGTTGTTTGATTCTTGCAAGCAGATAATTGTTGCACGGAACTAGTGCCTTTTTGAGCGAACAATGACACACTGTTTACTAATGTGTCCAATGCGTTTACCATAATTTCAAGGCTCACGTAACGTGCTATTTCTTGTGAGTTTTTATAAATAAATTTATTGGCATGACAATAAATATTTGACTATTATGTAGTCGGTCGTGTTTCATTTGGATATGAAAACAATAAAATCACAGGCTTCAATAGAGCGGTCACATATTTTTGGTAGTGTGCACGAGAAACGAACTTTTCGCGTAGGTTATGTGTCTGAAACACCAAAAGACACGTAAAACATCGTAATAGCTTTTTTTCCGGTCAAATGCTACAGTGTGACTGTAGAATAGTCATCTGGAGCAAAACTAAATAAATTAATCAGACAGACATGTTGCATATAAATGCACTGTGAGAGAACGACGTTCTATCTGAAGCAATAGCCGAATGAACGAACTGTGGTTACTGCGTCACTATATTGCCCTTATACTTGTTTTTTTTTTTGCATGGTAACGAGATCTGACCGTCTAAAACAATTTAAAACAACAACAAGCGTTACCGCTCCCCACAGTACGAATGTGACTCCATGTAAATTTTAGTGCTGAATCGCTGGCTCTACTGGCCCGAATGAGTGGCAAACGCCAGTGACATCTTTCCGGCCACTGCTGCTGCGAAAAATGACACCATCGACTGGTCATTTTTGGTGGCGGGGCCAGTCCTTCGGAACTCTTTTCTGTGTGCTGCTTTCGTGAGCGTGACATAGGCAGACATTTGCCTTTAGTTCTACAAATATTAACGGCAAAACCTTTAATAAAATGAAGCTACGCTAGCTGAAATATTTCCGTGTGATGTTTCGAATGCCAGAGATCCCATAAAGCCAGGTAGTCTGAACGGCAGTTCATGAATTTACTCATCTATATAAATCACCTGAGATACAAAACTAAACGCGCAGAATAAAAATAGTTAACAAACATTCACGAGACGGTGATTTGAAAAACGTCGCTGGTTGCGCAATTGTACCTAGTTTTTTTTAACTAGCTTGAGGAGCGTTAGTTGCTAAAGGCTGTACCTGATGTACAAATGTGAGAACTTCGCTGCAGAGTTATTGAGAAAAGGTCAGTTTCGATGCACAGATGAAGCAACGAACTCAGTAGCAACGAATGCGAATGCTACATCAAGCAAGACTTGATGGCAACTCCTTTGGTATCCAAACAGATGCAAGTCCGCGAAATTCTGGGACAAGGCAATACAGCCACTTCCACGAGCGGACAGGTTTCTGTAGTGTCGTTTCAAGGCGAAGTATGTGGCGAGAGCATAGAACGTACGCAGGTATCAGTTATCTCCTAATCTAAGTCGAAATATTGGCCCTATTTATTGAAAACTTGCAATTCTTGTTTGAGCGATGCAGCGCTTCACCGTTCCCGCTTTGCGCTCCTTCGCCTTACTCAGCCGGCTGGTGCACTTAATCTGTGGTTAAGCCGGGCCTGTTGGCAGCCTTCAAACGCTTTCCAAGGTATATGTAAACTGGTAGCGTAACTTCCATAGAAGCCAATGCATCGAGTAGTTGGCGGCTCGTTGCCACAGTCGCCATCTACGTATGAACGGGACAATCAACAGCAAGCAATAAATAAAAAAAATATATGACGTGCTATCGGAAGTGATAGCGACGTTGCGCATTAGCCCTACATGGCGCAAACTGAAATGTTTTATTAATTACCAGCGTTTTACATGCCAGTAAATGTACGCAACTTTATTGCGCCTTATGTTTCACTGATTGCGTGCATGAAAGAAAAATAAGACTAAAAGTAAACATTGTTTGAGCAGGGTTGTTTTATTAGCCCAATGGCGTACTTGTAACATACACCAAAAACTTTTCAGATGTATAAATTGTTATATTATGACACCTATAGCACACTAGTTAATACTAACTTAGACCAATCATAAAAATCCACCGCAGCGAGACAGCAGCCTTAAGAATATGGCTTTTCGAGCCGTAGAGTACAACGTGTCGTTGCTTAGCGTGTCGAATTCACCGTCACCAAAGGCCGTGCGCAAGCAAAGGCAGTCAGCTTCAAAGGAGTGGCTATTTACACATTCTGTCAGAGCCTGTTCAGCACTGAAATGTCATGGTAATGAACTGCACATAAATGAATAAACTATGGAAGGTACGCACAAAACCACCACGCAAAAGTGAGAGATGCCTCGCTGACCCGGCAGTGCGCCGAGCTAAACAAAAGGCCGGATAGCAAATTGCCTGGATACGTACACCTCCTTTTCAGGCCCTCGCCCGAAACATGAGGCAATCTACTATTTAGCAAAGTGTCAGACAAACCATGAAATAAATGTATAGGTAAGGTTGGCCTATATAAAATTACGACTATTTGAAAACGAAATTGTATTGAGTTTTTGTTTTTCGTAGTTTGTGCCCTCATCACCTAGTCGCGTTTCAATCGTCGGTGGGCGTTGATACCAGTGGCGATAGGTTTTTCATGCTTTTACCGCGTCTCGCAACCTATGTGATCTCACCATGCACTCTCGCTCTCAGATCGACTTCACGTCACGCAGGGCGGTGTTATGAAGTTGGAAAATATACAAACAACAAGGGTGACAAAAAAGCCCATCGAACGTCTATGCTATCGCAGTAGAAAGAGGGGAATTTTCGCAAACCAAGCTTGTCAGTTACATTAGAGCTGATATTTGTTAACAATATAATAAGTTGCGATGGGAGCCCTGCATTTGCACAAACGCCTTACTTGTGGTGAATTCTAAAACGTTGTCCTCAATTCACAAACAGGGAACATGGCTACGGGGGGTCAGAGATCATATAGCCGCCTGACTTACCTATTTACACTACTTATGCAAGTCATAAGGGCAGAAACTATTTATCTCTTGTTTATAAAATAGTTTAAATGTCTGTTGAGCCCGAATCTCTATGGTGCCATCTTTCTAAATCCTGCACTATCCCTCTTACAGCCATTTGACCTATGGATACCGCCTGGACTTCGGCGCCCCCCGCACATGCCACCAAATCCTCCACCGGCACACCCTCTTCCTCCGGCGCATCCACCTCCATCATCACCACCACAACCTGCACAACCTGAATCGACAACACCTGGCGGAGCAAACACAGAAGCACCGTCTTCTACAGACGCTTCGGTGACATCGCAGGATTCGTTGGAGCTAAGCGAAGAAACTACGACGGTCAACAGTCAAACTACAGATGTCGTCACTGAGGAGAACACCACTGCGACGCCTGGAGATGGGCCATCCGAAGAAACCACAGCTGAATCAACCACCACTGAGACTTCCTCTGAAGGTACAACTGATGAGGCGACTGCGAGCACCAGTGGCTCGGATGGTACACCAGAGGCTACTACACAGACGGAAACACCACAGGCTTCATCAGAGAGCACTGGAGACACTACAACTGGAACAGACACCTCGGCAAGTGCGCCGGATGCCACTGCTGACACGGGAACAAATTCTGCCTCCACAGACAGCGGTACGACAGGGGCTGATACGACTCCGCAAGACTCAAGCCAGCAGGCAGCATTAGATGGCTCTACTCTATGAACACAGAAATTCTTTCAACTGTTGATGCAGCTAGTTCAGCTGATGAAACAAATACCTTCTGCAAGTGATATTTCTCTCATCCTCGGCAGCAGCAATAAAGAACAAGGAAATAAATAATCATGATTGTGCGGTTTGTACTTCTTGTAATCGCATTCATTTCTGAGATGAGGAGTAGAGTTCTCAAGGTTGCAGTATGCGCTGCACGTAGCTGGTGCAGTTGTTCACTGCACAGCAGAAGTGAAATTTCAAGCACAGCTGCTGTCGTAGCAACAGCAGAAAAAAACAGTTGTAATATAGTGAAGTCACACGTTTTGCGATAATTTTTTGGCTGATGAGACACACAGGAAGCTTCACTTGCATCTTTATAAAAATCTTATAAAGTGACAACATTGCCACTGCTATTGTCTACCGTCTTACTGCTCGTGATGGCCGATTTTCATGACCTAAAAAATATAAAAACATTGTAGGCAAGCCGGAAAATATTCAATCTTGAAAATGTTTCTATACACTCTTTAAAAGGTTTATTTTCATAGGCCCAGGTGCTGCCAAACTGCTTTATCTATAATTCACATATTAAAACTAATGATTTGCATCGTATTGCCCTAGTAATATGGTGGGATTCGTTTTTAGAATTAGGGACCGTATTGATCTGCTGCACCGTAATGATCTGCTGCTTCTCAGTTTCAGTTTTGCGGGTGTCTGCTACTACACTTACGCGATGCGGCGTTGTAATAGACATCTGGGTGTGCTGTGCAAAGCAAGGCGCTCGCGGTTCATCAATGAACATAGCTAAAAAAAGTATTGTTCGATGGCCTTAAGCAAAAATCCATGCACTATCTCGCCAAGTATACTCCAGGTGGACCACATCAATGAAACCACGGAAAAATTGATGCCTGCAACGTTTGAAAATGTGCCCCTAATACCTTCCCCTGTTGAATGCCACCATTTACTTTACATTTTAATGGAGCTGCGTGGCTACACAACTTATCCGGTGTGATCGAGCATGGTATAGCGGTGAACGTAAGGGTGTTTTATAGCTAGACGTAAAAGTTTGCCTTTCTTAAAATAATCTTATTACAAGAACAGAGACGGCTTTTGTGCCTGCGGATTAATTATGCAGAAATATAGAAGAGCAGTAATCAAACGAGATTATGAGCGCATTTTCGCAGGTTTCATGCATCACAACATTTTATAAAGCCGGAATGCGAGAATCTGCATAGGCTTACGCTTAGATATGTGTCTACATAAAACGAGGAAGACTGGTCACGAGGTGTTACAGTGCTAATGCTTTTCACAAAACACGGTGCACGTATTTCGTCCAGCGGTGTTTGAGTGAGCAAACAAAATAATTAAGGGACGTGTACACGAGTATTGAAGTCGAGAGACGTTACCATACGTGCGAAAAGGATAAAAAAAAGAGAGACTCTCAATTCGTCTCTGCAAAAGCCTGAAATTGAAGTGATGGCTGATAACGACAATTTTACGGCCCAACAGACGTCAGGGAAAGTTTCCGCAAAGCAACGTCGAATGCTTGGGGAGCATAAAAAAGTGGAGTGCGCGTTTTATGGGAGCGACAGCCACACAGAAAGCGAAATGAAATGTGACTGTTCGATCGATCGATCTGTGGGATTTAACGTCCCGAAACCACCACATTATTATGAGACATGTCGTAGTGGAGGGCTCCAGAAATTTCGACCACCTGGGGTTCTTTGACGTGCGCCCTAATCTGAGCACATGGGCCTACAACATTACCGCCTCCATCGAAAATGACGCCACCGCAGCCGGGATTCGAACCCGCAATCTGCGGGTCAGCAGCCGAGTACCTTAGCCACTACACCACACGGGCGGGGGGAAATTTGACTGCCTTTAGATGTCAGAATCAATGCTAATTAGGAGAGTTGTGAGTTAATGAGCAAAATCTTCCTGAAATAACGATAATGAGAACAAACTGTGTATTCGTTTAATGAAAGGGACGCTAGTGACAGGAAATTTAGAAGAGTCGATTAGCGTTGTCAGAAGCCAATATATTTTTATTTATATTTGGCAAAGTATGGGAAGGTAGCCTACGTTAGAGCCGGCTATCCCAATATCATCACAGTAATGTACAAGATGAATAGAGCATGGTTATACAGCCACACTTGGTTGTTTCTACCTTCTAGTAACCTTGGGCGAACGCATTCCAACTATTTTTTTTCTATTCTTGACCAAGTTTCACGGGACGTTTTGCACATGGCGTGATTCGAAGCATTGACACTATATTAGCAATAGGGTGAATGCTGCAGTGGCAAGCTCTCATATAAAACACTGATTGATTGATTGATTTGTAGGGTTTAACGTCCCAAAACCACCATTTGATTATGAGAGACGCCGTAGTGGAGGGCTCCGGAAATTTTGACCACCTGGGGTTCTTTAACGTGCACCCAAATCTGAGCACACGGGCCTACAACATTTCCGCCTCCATTGGAAATGCAGCCGTCGCAGCGGGGATTTGAACCCGCGACCTGCGGGTCAGCCGCCGAGTACCTTAGCCACTAGACATCTAAAACACTGAAGAAGTGTGCGAGTGGTTGCAGCGTTCAATTACAATCGAGGAGGTACTAGGTTCGAGTCGCAGTGTCACCCAGTACCTTTCTTTTAAGAGGTTGCCCGGTGGGTACTCAATTCGTGAAAAGGTGGCTTTCGCGCTCTCTTCTTTTGCTCCCCTTTTGACCCAAAACGCTGTGCCGTGCTCCTTCATGAATTGCATAATTGAAGGTTCATATATTCCCCCACTATCCTCTGTTATCGCAAGGGAGCCCAGTGCCGAAATACCAATATGATCCCTGGCACATTTATTTTCGCGTGTTTGGATATTCGACCAACGGTCAGTCAACACAATGTTTTGAAGAAAATTTAGACATTCAGTGAGCTAATTGCTTGCGGCAAAGATGACTGCCTTTGTCGGGAGACGTTTTCATGCTAACTTGGTGGGAATCATTACATGCAGCAAGGCAAAAAAGCCCGGACAGGTTGACAAGACACAAACAGAGTGATTAGTTTGTCTTCTTTCTCGCTACCCGTCTTGTTGCGCGCTTTAGTGTAATGCCGATGTCAGTGGTTAAAAGAACTATAGACGCTGATATAGTTCTATGGAGAGGGTCCCCGATTGTCCAGAGCGGTAAAGAACAATGGTAAATTGATTTATTTTTTATTAGAACAGTTTCAGTACAGACGAAAACCGCAAGGACTAAATATGCGTATTCAACTTGACTTGGTTTGTGCCCTTAATAGTAATTGTCAACAGGCTTTACAATATGCATAAATGTCACACACATGTAAAACCACGAGTGATAGCTTGTTTATTGTGATTAAAATTGATATGTTGAAATTAACATATTCGACCAACGCAATATGTACAAGATATAGCATGTAGAGAAGCTACGCTCTAAACTAATCTTTGCTGGTTGGTTGACCCAAATTTACCCAATTTCTCGCTCATGAATGTACGTTGGCAAATAAAACAACTTCATCAAATGCACGTAATTTGTGTAAGGTTACATTCATTTTTATGCCGTAAAAACGAATTGAGAAGTATAATGGCTCAGAAGAAAAAGAACTAGAAATGAATTCAGCCAAATCATTACCAAGCTTACTCATCAATGATAAACCGATCCAAATTAAGCGATGTATACATATATACATACATACATACGTACGTACATACGTACATACATACATACATACATACATACATACATACATACATACATACATACATACATACATACATACCATGAAGTCTTGGTTTGGATTACCTTTATTAGGCCCGACGAACCGGCAGCCGACAGCTACGATGAATGAGCCAAGACGATGATGCTACGCGACAACGATGAGGATGCATGAGCCACACATGATAATGATGATAATGTACCGGTGAAGAGGATGCGTATACTAAATGCCCACACCAATTCCTTACACGTGAAAGCGGCCAGCCTGGCCGCGGCAAGTCAAGGGGACAAAGAACGTCGCATGAAGGGCTTCATACGGGCGACATGGACGACCTCTGTAGTTCGGTAACGGCGATCTGATGGGGCTATAAGTGGCGTTACGCGATAATTCACTGGCGAAGTCTCTTCAAGAACTGTGTACGGCCCAATAAACCGAGGCTGAACTTTGTCACACAAACCAGGTGTGCGAACAGGCGTCAAAAGGAGCACTTCGTCTCCAGGTTGGAAGGATACTGCACGATGCGATTCATCATAAACTAGCTTTCTGTCTTGCTGTCGGGCTTCAGTGTTTATACGAGCACGTTGGAAGCACTGTGTGAGTCGTGAAACGTATTCCTCTGAAGAGGATGGAGATGAATTCGCTTGGCAGGTAAAGAAAGAGACGCCCAGGAAAGAAGTAGGGGAGCGTCCATAAATTAGAGAAAATGGCGAGTAGCCGGTTGTCCACTAAATTGCCGTATTGTAGGCGAAACTGACGAATGGTAGAACTACGTCCCAGCTTTTGTGGTCTGGTTGAATATAGGTGGTGATCATGTCAGCAAGAGTGCGGCGGAATCGCTCAGTGAGGCCGTTAGTCTGGGGATAATAACTAGAGGCAGTTTTGTGAGTTGTGCCGGAGGCGTGAAGAAGTTCGTTCACTAGTTGTGAAAAGAAGGTCATTCCACGGTCACTGAGCAACACACGTGGAGCACCATGACGTAGTATATTGGCTCGCAGGATGAAATCAGCAATTTCAGAAGCTGAACCAGTAGTAAGGGATGCCGTCTTGGCGTAGCGCGCCAAATGGTCAACGGCTGTTACTATCCACCGGTTTTCAGCAGCACTGACTGGGAGGGGGCCATAAAAAACGACGCCTACTACTTCGAGTGGTGTGGCTGGGCACGGAAGAGGCTGTAGTGTACCGGCGGGAGCAGATGTTGGTAGTTTTTTACATTGGCAGGTAGTGCAGGACCCGACGTACCGAGCTACACTAGTGGTAATGCCTGGCCAATAAAACCGACTTCGAAGGTGATCGTAGGTTTTATGGTAACCAAGGTGACCAGCAGTCGGATGGTCACGAAGCGCTCTGAGTACTTCGGACCGAAGCGATCGGGGTAGAACGGGAACTCAGCGCTGACCGTCAGGATGGTAAATTTTGCGGTACAGCACCG